ATGATAAGATGAAAGGTGATTTTGATTGTCAGAGAGCCGACATGAAGAGGGTCAAGAGATGCTTTTTGTACCTAAGCCTGTTCCCAGAAGACCACTGGATCGAGAAGAATATGCTGATATGGAGGTGGGTTGCAGAAGGCCTTGTCCCTGATGGGTCATTTGAGATTGGGGAGACCTATTTCAAGGAGCTAATGGATAGGTGCATGATCCAGTGGGCGGTGAGCCCTCATGACCCCAGCCAAGGTGGTTGCCGTGTCCACATTTTGATGCTTCGCGTCATCCGCGACCTGTCAAGCATTGAGAATTTCTCCACCGTGCTAGGCCTAGGGATGAAGCAGGAGAGCACATCCCGAACCGTACCCATTCATAGATTAGCCATCCACGAAGGCGAAGCAATGGTGGGTCAAAGTCAAAACAGTAGACTGCTGGAAGTGAGGGAGGTGCTGTCATTGTATGCCAGCAGGTGCCCCGGCAGCAGCTTGCCACCACTCCAGGAGTTTGAAAACTTGCGTGTAATGGATCTGGAGAGATGTGATTTATCCTTGCGAGATTCCAATATGGAGCAGCTCGGCAGATTGAAAGTGCTCAAGTATGTTGGGCTTGTCGGCATACCCATGGCCGAGCTCCCAAGGAGAATAGGACGCCTCAAGCTACTAGAGATCCTCGACGTGACGGCAACTGGCATCAAAGAGCTGCCACCGTTCGTCGAGGAGCTAAGGAAGCTTAGGTGCCTGCGTGCTGGCAAGGGCACAAGGATGATGGGTCGGGTAGGGACGCTGACGTGCCTGGAAGAGTTGTGGCTGCACTCGGCGGACAAGTCCCCGGACTTCGCCGCCGAGCTCCAGAAGCTGAGCAAGATGCGGGTGCTGGTGATCCACTTGGACGAGGTGGACGAGGGCATGCAGAAGAAGCTGGTGTTGTCCCTGCATAAACTGAGGAAGCTCCAGGTCCTGCAGGTCTGGTCCGACGCAGAGGAGAAGGCACGCCTCGGCGGCCGCGATTGGGAAGGCAGCGTGCCATCCTCGCACCTCCGGCAGCTGCTGCTCTTGGGGATCATCCTACCCAGGCCGATGCCGTGGATCCACCACTCGCGTGTCCCCAAACTCTCCAAGCTGCTGCTGCAGGTGGAGACCCTGGAGGTGCAACATCTGCAGATCCTCGGGCAGATGCCGTCGCTCCGCTCCCTCTGCCTCCACATCCACTGCTACGGCAACCGTTTGTTGTACACCGCCGGCAAGCATGAGTTCAT